GGGGGGGGGTGAGGGGAGGGGAGGGCTTAGAGAGACCTTACAGGTTGACCTTACAGTATACATCTGTATCGAAGTGTTTTGGTTTGTGCAGATATTTTTCTCCCATGATGCATGTGACAGACAGCTGGTGGACCGCTAGACGCACGTGTGCAGTATGGGTGATGGAGAGGGAGGGAGTGGGGGGGGGGGGTGTCGCACACATGTGGGCCTAATGTGTACTTCAATGGCGTCATGTGCAGTGCAGTGATTTTCAGGACAATGGGCGGAAGTGCAGTGCAGCTGTGCATATTAATGACACTGTAATAAGTGGAACGTCACACGGGAGCTTTAATGTATATACTGTATACACTGTAACAGGGAGTGTGTGTTTGTGTGTGCGAACAACTGTCTGCACGCTAGAGCGAAATGCGACCTTTAATGTATATACTGTATATCAGGGGTGTCAAACTCATTTTCACCGGGGGCCACGTCAGCAATACAGTTCCTGTTGAAGGGCCGGTTTTAAACGGAACACTGTATAGATCAGGGGTCCCTAAACCCCGGTTCGCGGACCAGTACCAGTCCATAGGTCCTTTGGTACCAGCCCGCAGTGGGACAGAGTGAAAAAATGAAAAAAAAAAAAATCAAATTTCTTTCTTTAAAAAAAAAAAAAAAAAAAAGATTAATTTGACGATAATCTGGCAATTTTTTAAAATAAAAGTCATTCAGACTTTGATACAAACAGAATAGAGTCTGGTATAGATGTAGCTCCTCCATAACAGACTAATACATGTATCTGCAATTGATTATTATTTATTCAAGTTATAAATATTGTTCATTGCTGTGTAATAAAGAAAAACCTTTTAATTTCATAGGTTGCTCAACTCTGCTGCATGGACTTTATTAAATGCTTTTTAAGCTCCCGCGGGCCACACAAAGTGGCTTGGCGGGCCACATTTGGCCCCCGGGCCTTGAGTTTGACACCTATGCTGTATACACTGTAACAGGGAGTGTGTATGTGTGTGAACCACTATCTGCACGCTAGAGCGAAATGCAAGCTTTAATGACACAACAAAGTCACTCACTGTGTCGAAAGTACATCACGATACATTTGGAACATGTACGTAAATGTCTTAAAACTAAAAATGTTCATAGAAATATTTGTATGCCATATATATAAATATATATGAAGTATTGTCAAAAATAAAATAAAAGATACCATCTGTGGTTATTTTTGCCTTGGTGACATAAGGTGGCTATGTGGCGGGTGAGCACCCTCTCATCTGTGAAGCCGTACTCCTCCGCCAACAGCCACGTGACGAACACAACCAAAACGCAACACAAACATATTTTTTTTACTCTAAACGCACTAAACATGGCTTGAATGAGAAATGAGTCGCCTTTCGCCCCACAATGTGAAAAATTAAAACTCTTTGCAAACAACACAGGCTGCCAGTGGGGGGCGCCATTGAGTACATGCTTACAACTCACAGGCTGCTACACAGTGGGGCACCATATGTGGTTCCTCTGGGAACTGAACCCAGGACTCTCTGCTTGCAAGGCAGGAATNCTACGCTACGCAAACCACACTTGCGTACAAAATAGTCGAATACGTAAAACACTACACATGTAGTACAGACGGTCTTTCCAATCTTTACACCGAGCTCAGCATGCCGACAGCTGGCGGACGTTGAGTTGCCTTACTGCTAAATATTGGCAGATTTTTTCCACCCATTTCCAAAAGAGAGGAGGCGGGGGTGGGGGGGGGGGGCGATTTACAAAAGCATGAGTACACTGTTAGCAGCCATTTATATCCTGCAGCCCATTAAAATGACTGAGGAGATTATTGTTTGACATATTACTGTTGCTTTAAGAGGCTTTCCAAAAAAAAAAAAAAAAGAAAAAAAGATATTATTAGGATGATAATATATCCCAGCTATTAATTCTGACATGACAGATGACTATGTCATATGTAGCCCTAAAGATCAGATTACAAAATTGGGAAAATGTAACATTTTCATTATCTGATTGGGATCATCCCATATCAGGGACATATTATTTTAGCGAATATTTTCCCCCATTCACGATGAGACATATTATACATGTCAAATTAATACAAGTGAAGATTGACTCATCCTCCTTGTACTGCATACAGTTACAGACAGAATCCCAACAGGAACTGATTGTGTTGTTTGGTCATGACATGATCAGAGTTTTGTTTTTTGTTTTTTTTGTCAAATTGTGATAAAAAGGTACAAGCCCAGGCCTTGACTGCATGTCTGTCCTGTCCCTGCCCATCACAGGCAGCGAGTCCCACAGATAAAGAAAAGAGTGAGGAGAGGCAGACAAAGCAGGGGAACGCCCCCTGCACCCTGCATTTTTCCTGGCAGGTCATCATCAACCAGCTTTGTGGAATGAGGGCTCCACAAAGCCAGACTAAAAATGTTAAAAATGATTATCGAGTCGACTTGATCGTTTCAACCACTGAGCAACCAATATGTAAATTTCTAATTACTTAAAAAAAAAAAACCCTCAACCTTATCCCTTCTTACACACACACACACACACACACACACACAGACACTGCTTACCTTTAAACGCAGAAGATTAAAACGGTTAGGTTTTAAGAAAACCAAACACAAAACGAAAAAAAAAAAAAACTCACCTCAAATAAAACAGATTGAAGTGAAGAGTGGAGTCATTGAGTGTGAGCTGACGTCGTCCTTCTGTTTGGCCTTTTTTTGTGTGTTATCTCTCACTGCTGCTACGTTGTCAGATTGTAGGTGGCTAACGTTGAAGTAGCCGACTCTGAGGAGCAGAAATGACGTTGTTCTCGGTGGCTGTCGGTGTAAAATAGCGTAGAAACACGAAGGGGAGATTTGGTCTGGTCTGTTCGTCCCTGTCTCTTCCTCTCAGAGCCTGAATTCTTCTTCTTCTTCTTTTTTTTCTTTTGCTCGCAGCTGTTTTCGTTGTTACAGCCTCAGCCTGATATGTGTCCTCTGTCCCTTTAAGACTCGACGTTTCCGGGGCCTGGCACCTTAATAAGAAAGAGGCGGGACTTCACGGCCAGCTGAGCGCCTGTCATTTAGACGATTGGCCATTTCTTTTAGACACAGCCAATCAGGACTGGAGAATTACGCTACGTATTAAACATGCAAAATAATTTCGAGAAATACCGCTCTGTGATTGGAGAACCGATTAGCTGACGACACGCCCAGTACACGTGCTTTTTCTCTCCTCCCATTCTCAAATGTTTGACGGCCTCTAGCGCTGTCACTGGAAATACTCATGTTTGACCAAGATAAAAGGGAACCAGACTGAAATAGTCCCGAAACGAACACATTTAACTGCGTTTTTGACGTTAGCATAAGCTAACAGGTTCATGGTTGTACTTGTAGTCACAGGCACACAGCTTATAGTTTCAGCTACTGCTTATACTGTAGCTGCTCTGGCCATGTTGTCACTGATCTAAGAATAGATAAGCTACACGTTGTTTCCCCATGTTGCTTTGCGGCTGCACTCAACTCCACGCCCCGTCCACGCAGAGGACTTTCTACTGAGGAGGAATAGGATCAGAAAGAGGTCCTGCAGAAACCACAGGCCCGACGGTGCAGATAAAGCACGACCCACTAAAAAGAAAAAAAAACGTTGGAGTTTCAACGTAATTACGAGTTCTATGAGCTAAAGCAAGTGTATTCAAGTGGAGGCCCGCGGGCCAACACAGTCCATTAGATAAATGTTTTTTTTTACAGACTGCTATTTATATGATAGTGTGTTGGGAACTCAGGGATTCTGTTGCCTCTTCTCAGAAAATAAAACATTAAATGTGTTGAGATGATGTGGTTTTAAAACACTTAAAATGAAAGCATCTCCATGACCTTTATTCTGAAGAACAATACAACATAAAAATGTGAAGGTGTTGCATCACCTTATTTTTAAAGTAATAAATATTTACACAAGCTGATCACATTGTCTTAGTTATTCGTTACAACAACCATGATGGGTGTTACATGTTATTGGTAGGTTTGACAGTACCAGGTAGACTTTTTATATTTCTTCACGTGCAAAATATTTCTTGACTACACATCATTCGTTTTTAATTGTCAACAAAATGCCACATATACATTTCATGTCTGGATCTCCTGCAGAAGCGAAGCAGTTCCTTGATTTTTGAGTCTCTTCTGCCCCCTGCTGGTGGAAATTCAGATGGCACATTCGAGCGCTTGTGTTTAACGCTGTAACATTGAGTGTATATGAGGGTATTTATTTTTAAGATGTTATCACAATGGATTAGGTGATCAAACATATTGGACATTATAAAACAAAGTTAACTAATTAATTAGGAAAACATAAAGAAAATGGTTAACAGAATACTGTGCTGTGTCTTAAGCTCCTAAAAAAAAAACATTTTTTAACTAAACACATTTTCCACTCAGAAATTGTTATACTTCAAGTGATGTCATAATTCCTTGTCTTTTTCACTCTCTTTGAAGCCTCTGCGCTGTGATCCGACTTCCTCTTCGCTCTGTTATCATGATCCTCCTCTTGTCTATACTGGTGCCTGTTGGAAACAGGAGTGGGATAAAAAAAAAAATCAGCTGCATTGACCATTGGACATATACAGTTTGCACATTTAACCTGTCCCTGGGGACGAGGGGCACGCTCAGGTGCCAGGGAAATATTCTTCAGGGTGGAATTCAAACCCCCAACTCTCCTGTAACAAGCTAGATCCACCTACCAGTAGGCTGGTTGACTCAGTACTGGTGCTATAACCAAAACTGTACGCAATGAATTCCACAGTTATGGTTATGACTGACTCAAACAGTACATTAGGGAAAAAATTATGGTAAAGTGCACTAAGTCCCTGCAGTCATTGAACTACTACTCCACCTGGATTGCCATCGTCGACCGCTGTTCCAAACTCTTCCAAACGAGGGAAGCCAGTTTGCGTCTGTCTGAGAGGTGTGGTCAAAGTTGGCCCCGACTCTGTTTGGTGGAAGCTTCTTTAACTTCTCCCGTTCCTCTGCAAAAAAAACCAAAAACAACAACATTTAATTACACAACAACTGATACTGTATCGGGTGTCTGACTTTTTGTCTGGGTTTATGCATGGCCTACTCTGTTTGAGGAAGTCCTGGAGTGACGGGCCGATCTCTGGAGGTGCCGTTCCACCAGAAGATCCTTCTAGAGGATCGTCATCCTGGAGCCAAGGAGGGACGGCCCCTACGACAGTGACGTTGAGTGACTATGGTGAAAAGCAGTGAAACCTCCAAACATCCTCTCCTCTCTAACTTTTAACCAACCTCTTTCAATTATTAGTCCAGAACATTTTCTATAGTGAGTGTATGACAGCTAATATAAAGTATTACAGTCTCCTTATCCTACGTAACACCAGACTTCAACATTAAATGTTAGTTAAAAAACACAAGTATTTACACCATACAGATCAAACATAGAGACCCAGCATTTATTACTGTACCTGTGTGAACATTTCCACGGTTGGAAGGATCCTGTGACACAAAACAAATTATAGTTTTATTTTAGAATAAATATATATATGTATATGAACTCCTTTTACTTGCTGACAGCTGTCTCTCTACCTGAAAGCCTATGAAGGTCAAGTTCATTCCTGATGCAGGTCCTGGTGCTCCAGCCATTGAGTCAACAAACCTGCTGGTCTGCTGCTGGTCTGATCCCTCAGGCTGAAATCTGAGACAAAAAACTTTAACAATGACAATACAAAACCTCTAAAAACTGGATTAAGTATCAATAGAAAAACAATGGGAGTACCTGACAGGATCCTCAGCTGAAACATTGGTGCCATTAGGACCATTGGTCAATTCTGCCTCTGATTCATGCTGGTATTGATTCAGGAAAAGCCAACAGTGGTTCACAGAGGAAGTCTGACAACTCTATTAACCTTCTCATACACAGCTTAGCTCCAGAACTAACATAGACACCTTAAATCTTACATCGTGTAATACTATAAACACTAGACGACCAACCATCATCTAGAGCAGTGGTTCTCAAACTGTGGTACATGTACCACCAGTGGTACACGAGCGCTCTCTAGTGGTACGCGGGGAAAATTCATATTTTCACATTTACATTTTCAGTTGAATAAATCTGAAACATATCATGCACAATTAATACAACATTTAAATATCTTTCTAAACATTTCTAAACATCTCTCCTGTGTAGTTGAAGCTAATAGTGAAGGCCTATGCTGCTATATGCTAATGCAGTGTTTCCCAACCTTTTTTGGGCCACGGCACATATATATCATCAGGAAAAAACCCACGGCACATCACCAAACAAAAACCTCACAAAAAGTATATATGATGAAAAATAGTAATATTCTAGTTTAGATTTACTAAAAAATGAACTCCTGTTTAGTTGAAGACAACACTGATATACTGGGAGGAATTGAAAAAAGACACAAAGATCTTCTTCAACAGCTCTGATAATCTTTTCTTAGTTTTAATAACATCTGCACACAGTGGTTGGGAATCACTGTTCTAATGTTGGTCATCATGGTGGTACTCAGAGAGCTCAATGTTTTCTCAGGTGGTACAGAGTATAAAACATTTGAGAACCACTGCTCTAGAGCCAAACTTTCACACAAATCAACATTTTAACAGTGATGGATACTGCCACTGCATCTTTGCAAAACAAACCTCTAGAAGAGACTGAAGAACATCTTGGCGATGCTTCTCCTGACGCCGGATGAATTCAGCTTGCTTTGGACATTGAAGGAAGACATAAAAAGAGCAAAGTCTTTAAGTATCACCTTCATTACTGACAAGAACACATGGAAAGTTTTCACGCTAGTGTTGACGTGCCGAAAATTACCTGCTCAATGTAGTTGTCCTCCACCTCCACAAATGTTTCCAACGCATTTGACACCTCAGATTTGAACCTAAACAGAGTAAAATAATGTCCATTACATCGATTCCAAACAACTAGTGTGGTTTGAGAGACCATCAGGACTGATGTGGAAAACTAACCAATTTCACTAAACTGTTAAGACCACTATTATTTATTGGCTGCAGTAAATTATAAACAAAACTAAAAAGCTTCAGTAGGCCTACCTTTCAGTCTCCTCCTCTGTGATGATAACCTTGTCTCGGAGCTTGGGGTCAGCCTTGTTGTCCCACCAGAACTTATGTGTATTCTTCCTATGTTCTGCGCTGTAATCAAGACCATATTGAATGTCAAAAACGAACAAAAAAATTGGACAAAGTGAGTGAAAACAAACTAAAAACAAAACAAAACATAATGATTTCATTTATTTAGTCTTACGTGGCCATGTGTTCGATCAAGCCTCCACACAGCACGGTCATGTTGTTGTCAGTGACGTGTCTTTGGACCTCGAGCTCACAGCAGTAGCACCAGAACTTCTGATCGTGTTGGGTGGAATCATATTTTTCTACTTGGGGCTTTTTAAGTGTCCGACGAGCTTCTTTAACCTGGAAAAAAGCAAGGAAAATCAACATTATCCGGAAGTACTCATAATAACACTCACACCGACCTCTAAAACGGTCCCATATAGTTGTTTTCTGTATTTAAAAGCTCCGATATACTTCCTGAATTAGATTTTAAAATTCTCCGAACTCCTTTACGTAAATTAAAACTTGAAAATAAACGCAAAACAGTAATGATAAGAGCAAAAAATAGTTTGACAGGTAGTACCAGCTAGCAGCGAAGCTAACACGTTAACGGTACGGAATGTGATCAGCTTTTACGTGGAAAACACAGCACATAATACACTGAATAAGAACCTGAAAAGTGTGTGCTCAGTCAACTACCTTTTCTATGAATTTGTGAAGAACCACTCGAAGTCTGCTCTGATGACTTTTGCCAAAGATGTGTCCCTTTCCGTCGAACGTCGTCTGCCTACATATGGCGCAGTAATGAGCTCCCATTGATACAGCGAATGGTGAACCTAATCTAAAGTAGATCTGAACTCGCACACAATCATAACTAAAACTTGGCGACACAATTGTGCAGTTGTATAAGTATTTAAAGGTAATACAGACGGCGCATGTAAACAACCCTGAAGTCTCGAATAAGCAAACGACAGGAAGTGCGACCTGATAAGGTGTCCCCTGGAAACACGCGATTTTTTCTTTTGTCTTCGCAAACATAAACATAGGTTCCGTAGAATTTTAGACTACAATTCAGTTGCACAGCAGTTCATCAAAAAGACGCAGAAATGTAATCCAACAAACTCCACTTGTCTGGATTGTTTAGGTAATTGTCTGTTTGAATTGGACAAAATCTGACATCAGTATTGGGACAAAAAAAAGGTTGCCATTATAGTTAGTGAATGTACCATCTTAATGTTTAATCATTACCAACAAAACTGTTACAAAGATTAATATTATTATTACGTGTGGGGCTTTATTATTTTGGTCATTATTAGATAAAAAAAATATCCTCGTAGATAGAAATTCAGACGATGGCGACAATTCACCGGATGCCGACTGCTGCAGATACAACAGAAGAAGAAATCTGGGCGGAAGTTGTTTTTACGCTGCTGGAGGCCGAGCGAGTCTTTTTGATGCGGCTTGTTTTAGCCAACGCTGTTAAATTCTGGTTTTAGTCGCATCACTTACGCAGCCGATTCGGTAAAAATGTCGTCGGTTTTGTGTTTCAGAAAATATGTCAACGAGCGGCTGAGCGCCGCCGCCGAGGAGATATTAGGTGTTTTTGAAAAGACCATCGTTGTGTACGAGGAGGAGATCGACCGTCAGCGCAGACTACTGGATGTCGTCCTGAAACGACACGACAAAGGTTTGTAATATATATAACAATACGGCGATAAATTGTCTTATTTACAGGACTCGGATTGTGGTCTTCGTTCACTGCCTTGACTATGTTGTGGCCCAGTACATATGACTACCCAGTCACAGGCCTTCGTACCATAGCGCACACTTGGACATGTTTTAGCAGGAGAAGCACAGGTGTTGGTGATAGCAAACAGCATGGACCCTGAAACCGAAGACGCCAAATGGAACTCAGTTGTCACCCGTGTGATTATTTACCCAGTGCTTTTCCAACTGTCCTCGTCAGATGTCTCCTTTGGGCCCAAAATAGGAGCTGCACCTGTTATTAGGAAAAGCATTTGGAAAAATGTATCAGTGCTTTACTAGTCTGACAATGTTTGTCATGTAAAATGTGAGAGATTCAAAATAAATTCTGCATTTGTTAAGTTGTTTCTTTTCACAAACCTCTGTCATAGTAATAATCCCCAAATCCCATCCAAAAATTAATCTTGTTTACAAATAAAAATCCCTAAATTTATGTAGAAGAGAAAACACATTAGTGTTAATATAAAGTCGTTATCAATTTGTTAGAGTAGTTGGGAGTTTAGTTAGAACAAATGAGTAGTAAAGCATTCTTCTGTCTTTCAGACCTCCCATATTCATCAACCACTAATGATGAAATTCTACTGGAGGCCCAGAAGCACTTTGACCAGAGGCGGATGTCTACTCTCAACCAAGTGGAGGAAATATGCTCTGGTCAGCAGAAGGAGCCGTACATTTTACAGCAAGCAGCAGACATGTTTAAAATGAGGCCACCTCGAGAGAGCACTGACTTCAGCGTGGACCAGAATCTGCTCATGGGACATGACCAGACTCGAGGTGCTGCAGAAAAAGACCAACCGCTGCCCAGCATGGCAGTTATATCTGAGTCACAGAGCTCAGGGGTGTCCACACCGTACACCGACCACCACTTTGCACACAACTCGCACCCATCTAACAGCCGCGAGCACGACAGCCGAAATCACGAGACTGTGAGTACTCATCAGACACCCGAACACAAACCTTTCAAATGTATGTTTTGCGCTGAAGAGTTTCTTGACTTCCTGAAGTTAAAAATGCACATAAGGACCCACACCGGTGAAAAACATTTCACGCCAGAAACCTGTGGTAAATCGTTTCCACAGAAGCCGACCAAGCCGTTCATGTGCAGAGTTTGTGGAAAGGAGTTCAACTGTCAATCAAGCCACATCAACCATATGAAGACTCACTCGGGGGAGAAGCCGCACCAGTGCGCTACCTGCGGGAAAAGTTTCAGTCGAGTTGCTGACCTGAGGCGGCACACGAGAACTCACACGGGAGAGAAACCTTACAGCTGCATCTACTGTGGCAAGGAGTTTCCCTACCACTCATCGCTCACCAATCATGTGCGAGTGCACACAGGGGAGAAACCGTACAAATGTATGTGGTGTGGTAAAAGGTTTTCCCTCAGCACAACTTTGAAAATACACACTCGAGTCCACACGGGAGAAAAGCCCTATATGTGCAACCTGTGCGGAAGGAATTTTGCTCACAACACAGGACTAAGGTTACACAGAAGGGTTCATGCTGGTGAGAGCAACATGGTCCCCTAAAACTTATGTTCCCACACAACAAGATTGCATTCTCCAGCCTACTTGGTACAGAAAATACTTTATGGACGAAATCCTCCATTCTGATGTGACATAATCAGAGATATGATAACTAACATGACATATTTTGTATGGCATTTGGGTTGAAGTTAGATTGAATATATAGGTTTTTGAGCACTGTTAGTAAGTAGTGGGTAGAATCACAAAGAGCTAGACAACAAGTGAGGTGTTTCTGGTAGCATCAGCATCCTTATCAAACACTAGCCTAGAGAATTAGTTGTTTAAAAGTAAGATGCTCAATGTTTCCCAATTGATACCTGAAACAGAGCATCCAATCACTAAATGATGTATTTCAAGCAATAATACTTTTTTTTAAAGAAATGGAATCCTGATTTAAACCCTCGCCAGACTAAAGAGAGTATTTATCGCAACTTCCCTTTTTTATATAAGAAATTGATGAATATTAAACTTTGGCTGCACTGAGATAACCGTGTCATATAACACAAAACGACCTATAGTGTAAACGGATAAACGAGATTCAACTTCGTCTTAAAGCTATACAGAAGTTAAACGTATGGCAAATATTCCCCATATTTTTTTTAAACCTTTTTTTTAACCTTTATCGCTGTTGAAACACTGATGAATGATTAGAAGACATCCGAGCTCCGATCTCTGGTTTCCGTCTTCGTGCTGGTTTTGACAGACGTTAGACAACTGTTTTTGGTTTTTGTTTTAAAACCTACTGAAGTCCCTGAATTTAATGTGAGTATATATGGCAAACTGTCGTTATATTCCTCCGTCAGTCTAAAAAAAAAAAAACCTACTCGGAACGTTTTGCGTTAGCCCAGATTTAGCTCATATGCTAATTAGCGCTAATCGGGAGGGGGACGGAGGCTAGCGGTGAAGAAACCGCTACGATTATTGGTCAATTTATGAGCTGGTGTTGTATATTTAAAATGAACACATTGTCGGCTGATTTTTTTTATTATTATTATTTATCCTATTCGATAAAATAGTGCATCACTCGTTAAAAAATATTGAACATCCGTTATAGATGTGTTTAGTGCGTTGTACAGTGGTCTGTCAGACTATTGCTCTGAATACCCCTTTAATGATGCCATGGATATGAATACAACTTGTTTCTAATCAAATGGAGTGAAAATGCAGTTTAGTTGTGTGGAAATGTAACTTTAGTAAGAAAAGTTAATTGAAATTAGGTTATTAGGTCATTTGCAGCAAAATGGATGATAGGTTGAAGCATGGGCATCTCAGTAGCTAAATTCTTAGGGCGGAATGGGCAAAAATGCAGCTTTACTGCACGGCTCTTGCTTTGACAACCTGTTTTTGGTTTTGGTTATTTGCCTCTGGAAAAAAGAAGAAGAAAAAGAAGAAAGAATCCCATAATAATAAAACAACAACAGAGTATGGCTGTTTAATGTAAAGGCTGGTCACGTTGAAAGCATTAAAAATGTTCAGCCCTAACACTTATTTTTGCGATTTAAACTACAGTCAGACATTGGAGTTATTTGTGTGCTCCCACAGTGACTCAGTGCAGGCTGTTGTGTGTTTGGATTATTATATTGCCTTAGTTTAAACCGAGGGACGATTGAACCCTCGCTGCAGCCTTATTAGGTGACTTTAAAGTAAGTTTTCCATTGTATCTGAAGCCGATTCCGGACACACTGAGGTCTGGAATTCTCCTTGTATGTAAGGACATGTAGATCCATATGTTACTGTATGTTAGGCAGGACTTTTCCTGCCGTTTCTGCTAATTTATTTAAATTTAAACCCAGTATTCCTAGTGATATGTGCACACGCGCTGGATAATTTACTGGAAGCGAATGGGTGAGAGTCCTATCTCCTGCATGCTGAAACGAGGACTCTAGAAGAATCTACATACTGTTTAAATGTGTCTGACTGGTCCCACTGCACTCATCATACATAAGCACGAATACCTGGACTTTTAGTTATATATATATATATATATATAAACTCTCTTGAATATTTCCTTATACAAATGTGCTTGACAGTAAACACATTGGCCTTAACTGTTAAACTCAGCTCATCTCCGGCGTTACTGTACTGTGTTTGAGGCTGAATGAGGCCGACGCTGTTCTCCTCAAAGTTCGTTAAATTCAATATTATTCTGCTGCATGTTACTTTACCTTACCAGAATAATTTTTGCGTAAGAGTTCAGAGTTCATTTAAAAAACAAAATTCACATTAAATCTGTTCCTTAGTCTGCTGGATCTTACGCAGAGGCCAAATCAAATGTGAAGTTTTGAATCACACACACACATCAGTTTAGAATATGGTTATGGTTCAGGTTTCAACACTATTACTGGCACGTCATCTTCCGCTTAGTCCACACAGCTTCCATTCAGTTTCTGTAAGAAGTATAAATTTGTTTCAAAGCTAGGTGTTAATGCTGTAATTGTTTATTCAGTATGACAACTGAATTATTTTCATATATTTTTTGTGTGTGGGTGTTTGTTTGTTTTTTTAAATAAAAAAATTGACATTTTATGGTTTGTTTGGTCACTTGTTACAACTTATGGAGATTATCAGTGTCATTACTTCAAAATCAATCAATGTAGATATCTTAAATCTGATTTTATTAAAAAACACAAGGGTGAATAATATTGTTTGCATATCTGTCATTTTATTGTCCACGGCTTGTCCGAGGTTGGATTGAAAGATACTAATATATAGCTCCTCTGTATTAATATAACTGAGTGAGTATATATTGTTTACATTTATATTTAAGATAATTTATGTTACTGATAAAGTATTGTGCAAGTTTTCCTTCCTGAGTTCGGCCCTAGTTCTTTCTCATTTATTTACTTAAGCCTTTGAGAATAACAGAAAAACGGCATGTACCGGTACTTCTTGTTAGCGGCAGTAATTATTTGACACTGGTTTTGGAAGCAGTGGGTTACACCCTGAATGTGTTAAAATAAAATAATATATTTATTTAAAATACTTCTTCTGATCCACAACCTGTTCATACTGGAAAATGTTTATAACTCGACAATAAATCAACGGATCCGTTTTTGTTTTTGTTTTTTGTTACAGTTTACGGTTATCGGTGAACTTCACGCAACAAAAGCTGTTTTTTTCCAGCTTTCTTGAACGCATCATTTTACCTTTCACCTTTGAATGGCGCGTATTAGTGATTGGAAGACCGACTCTTTTTATTGATTCGAATCTTTGACTCTCGAACAGTAAAATGAACGGGTCGTGAACGAATCTTGAACGAATCATTTCATTCGTTTTACAGCAGGTGGCGCTTTAGCCCTATTGTGGTCGTTGTAAATAAGGCTGCGGTTCTCCGACACTAAATACTGAAGGCAACATGGTTTGCTTCCGCTGACAAAGTCTGCAAAGTACACAAAATGCCATAAGTAATTAAAACCATGCGAAAATATAAGAAATAAAAACACACCACAATGTGAAGATGAATGAGAGCAAAAGAGACCCGAGCTCCCTGTCACGTGACAAATGAAAGGAATCTGCGAGAACGAAGCGAAAGATTAGTTCACAGAGAGTGATTCGTTCATAGTGATTAGTTCACAGCGAAAGATTAGTTCACGACTAAACAGTAGTTCACGGCGAAAGATTAGTTCACACAGAATGATTCGTTCACAGCGAAAGATTAGTTCACGACTAAACAGTAGTTCACGGCGAAAGATTCGTTTGCAATGAATGATTAGTTCACAGTGAAAGATTAGTTCGCAGAGAGTGATTTGTTCGCAGTGAGTGATTAGTGAGTGATTCGTGAGTTCAATATGAACAAATATTTAATATGACTCGGTAGTCACGAGTCACGAATCTTTCATATGACTCGGGAGTCACGAGTCATATGAAAGTTTCGTTCATTTTGAACGAATCACTCGCGAACGACACATCACTAATTAATTCCCAAAGTGTGATTTGTGAGTGATTCGTGAGTTCAATATGAACAAATATTTACTATGACTCGGTAGTCACGAGTCACGAATCTTTCATATGACTCGGGAGTCACGAGTCATATGAAAGATTCGTTCATTTTGAACTAACGACACATCACTAGCCCGTATCTTTGTTTGCTTTGTTACTTTGTTGGTTAGCTGTGCAACCGATTAATGTATCAGTTAATATGGATACCGGATACCAGGTTTTACTTATTGAGGTGGTCAGTGGTGCTAAAAGCTAATTCTCCTTTAGCATAGAGGGGATGTCATCTTAATATGCATATTACTTTTTCATTTTCACTACTATTTGTTGCCAAATACAACACTGCCTTTAAAACACATTATTAAAAGTCATGTGAAAATGATTGATTAGTGCTGTATAAAATTCACTCCACTAACGTATTTTTAATTAATTAATTTTTAAAAAGGTATTGAAAATGTGGACAAATATTAAAAAAACGCGATAGGTAGGACCATTCCAAGATATCTTAGATCATTGTTTACCAAAGACTGGGTCGCGACCCTCAGGTGGATCGCAAGAGATTTTATTGGGGTCGTCTCACATCATGTTTCCCAGGAGTTTACACATAATGTATATAGACTTGGGTCGCGAAGGTTTGGGGAACACTGCCGTAGATGATAGGGGCTCAAAAATATATATTAATGTCCTTAAGTGTGTTACGTAGGGACCCATGGTCATATCCTTCCATGGGCCCCAGAATTCCTGGCAGCTCCCCTGTCTAAGAGATTCCACTACTCCTTATTGTAAGCCTAACTAATACAAATGTATGTCTAATTGTAACCTAACCCCAGTCCTAATTCGAAATAAAAATTGGAACCTCGAAATACTCTCTCACTAAATGGGGACCCCAAAGGACAAAGTAAAAGTAGTAGTAAAATATGATATAAGTATATCAGGGATCCACACAAAGCCATTATAAACAAGGGTTTCCCCCGATCTGTTTTATCCTCCCAACATGGCTTGCGGTTCAAACGTGTACAGATACAAAGATAGAAGAGATTTGTGATTATTTAACCAAATTTAAACGAGGATTAAAAGGATCTGCGACGAATCCCAGGCTAGAAAAACCACAGCTGTGAAATCCATCATGGTTTTCACAAGCTTTCCTCGGCAATTATAACATTGGCTGGAGATTTGGTGTGTGCTGAAAATCAAAACCTCATCTTGGCCAGACACGCTTGTGCGCTTGCAGAAAGTGTCTCAGGCCCAAACCCTGTGATTTAGAAACATTTATCTCACCACAGTGGCCGAATCAAAGGCCTGGGGAAAAACAGAACAAATTAACAGAAAGGTATTTAGCTCTTCTGAGGGAGCTAATTCTGAGTGCCGCAGTATTCATAAAACCACAGTGCGTAATTATGTTTTTATTGCTGTATAAACTCCAATGTTACCTTGTAATTTCATGGTTACTAACATAGCAATTTGAAGACCCCAGTTTTGCTTTGGCTTTGTTTGTTTGCATTTTTGTGACGGGTGTTCTGTATGTTTTTTTTTTCATAGACAAGTTCTGATTTTCACATGATGTGGGCTTTTTATAATTCCTCCGTGTTCGACTGGAAAGCAGCAGTCGGCCAGTGTCCGCTGTGCAGTTGGTATTGGCAGGAGGCTGGACTCCTTTGGGGCCCTGAAGCCATTGATCACACTTAGCTGACTGTGTAATAAACTGCAGTGGTGCTGCACCTCAACCTCGCCAAATATAAAAACCATCTCTCCAACAAGCACTGAGTGCATCTGCCTGTGTCTGGACGGCGTGTTTGACTTTTCTAATGTCGCGATAGCTGCACTTTATCTTTCCCACAAAGGGAATTATGAACCAAAATAAGACATTTCGTAATTTTATTGCCTGCTTCGTTTAAATTAGTTTCCTCAACAGACATGCACCATATATAGAATATTTAAGCTACTGTAGCTCTCAACTCATCCGCTAACATACTCTTATACGTGCATATGTATACATCTGCAGACCTGCATACTTAGCTAGCTACTTAATCGACTTCTTATTCATTAGATCTCCTCCTCTTTCCTACCTACTTAACTTCAGTACCTTGTTTATTGTGCTTTGCTACGTACAAACTAGCTAGCTATCCTGCTAGCTAGCATCATAGTTTTTAGTGTTTAAAATATCTACTATATTTGGCATGTTGCTCTGAATGATAGCAATGTTAACATATAAGATAATATTTTTGAAAAGCATGATCCATCATGCTGCATGCAAAACATTCCAGTTCTATTATTTATTTTCCATGTCTGAATGGTACGTGGTTAAATCATGTCGAGGATTATCTCAGTCTGCATTTTTAAGCAGTTGATGGTT